TTATTTTTTTGCCTCCCCAGAACTTTATAGTTATCATCATTGCTCTGTAATGCACAATGTATTAGGAAATCTACTATCTAACATCACATTCAGCACTTAGCTAGTTGAATATTTCACTTTTCAACAGACCCAGGCTATACAAACACCAACTGTTTTTAATTGGATAAATGAAAAATCTGCAATAAATGCTGTTTCTAATGAAAAAACTAGATGTCTGCAAATATGGCCAGAAGCTGACACTGCCTACTTGTACTGAACCATACTGGGTAAGTTCTGCTTCATTACGTCTTGTGCCATTTTGGAGAGTACCCAAGAACGTAATCGGCGTTGTTTACGTTAGGGGAGAAAGCGCGCACATGAACGTAATCTGCGTAATCAGCATTGTTTACGCTTAGGGGAAAGCGTGCGTATGCGTTGTGTGACAACAACTGCAATCTTCATATGTAAATATACTATAGTGGAGTATATATGTTACATATATAGGGGTCCTAAAGTCTGAGACCTCTAGTTAATATAGGAACATACAGTGAAATATTAGGCTGACAGTCTTGTGGAGAAAATCTTCTAAGTCTTGCAAGAAGAGTCAGAGTTTTCAGAAGTTAAAATTAGACTTTAAGAAATAACAAAGTCGAGATGCCAGCTGACCATCTGAATCTCTCTCTATCCAGACTACCATCTTTGTACCATTTCGTTATCGGTCACTGTCCAATGAGCATACAGACCATTCTTTGATACGTCATTCCCAGTACTTTTCCACAATTGTTTATTAGTTTTCATAATGCTTGCTTTCATTGTATAAAACCCCCTGCTAGTCTGTTTTTCAAGAGATAAGTTCTCATATCTACCACTTTCTGGGTGCCCAAAGTTGCAGAGTCATATACATTTTAGGATTTTAATGAGCTGTCAGGGTTTTAATTAGTTTTCTCCCTTCTCCAGTACTTCCTTCTGTATTCTCTATTCATAAGCGCAGTCAAGTAGGCCAAGAGGCCTACATAGACAGTTAGTTTGGCCTTGAGGCCTTCAAATGCACCCAGCTCACACATGAGGCAAACTAACTTTCACAAACATGCAAAGTAACTTCTTCAATTGTTTTCTATAGGGTAAATAAAATATTTCATCACAGTCTTCAAAGGAATGAATGAAAATTTTAAATGTATTAAAGCAGTTATTTTTTAAAGTGTAACAATATTTCATAATATTGCTGATTGTATGTACTTTGATAAAATAAAGACAGCATGCAGCCTTGGTGAACACAAAAGAGACTTCTTTCGAAAACATAAAAACATTCTGACCCCAAACTTCTGAATGGGAGTGCATTTAATTTTACAGCTTTCCTTTTGCCTTACTGAAAGCACAAACTTATGATGATGTAGACTGTTGATCCATGTTATCAGCGTGATTTGCAAATGTTCAGCTATTTCCTATTCATTTTATATCATAACATTTGTTTGATTTAAATATTTTAAAATAATAATAAAAAAATCAAATTTTTATTATTTATTTTTTTTAAGTGGTCCCAAGCTTATGGACTCCACTGTGTGTGTATTTCCAGAATAATGCTCTTCCAGAATAATCTAATCAGAGTTTCAGTGCAAAGTCATCCAGTGGCATTCAGACAGACAAAGATACAGAATGAGCTTCAAGACTGCTGGTTCATTAATTGATTACCTTTAGCTACAATTTAATTTGTTCACTATGATAGAGATCACTGGTAGACAGGGGATAAGGGCTATTGATTCCAGATAATTTATCCTTTATAGAGCAGACTGGGGGTAAGTACGTGCATGACTGTGAATCACAGTGAAATGTGGTAATTGAAGAACATGCTAAGGACATTGCAGCTGGTTTGGCTATTTTTGCCACTTTGATTTAATTATGTATGTAATTAGCACCATCCAGTCTATTTTACAGTAAACTAGTTATGCTGTTTTTGAGTATATGATATTTTGCATTTGCATATAGAAATGTAAATATCTGTGAAGGGAAGAATTAGTGGGAAAATATATTTTCTTAACGTTTTATACTTTTTATGCCCTCAATAAACCTACATTTTTAAATTGGCAATACAACTTGCTAACAGAAATCAAATTAATGTGACTATTTACAACATGAAATTAGTAATGAGTAACAAAAGAGTTTTTTTTTCCTCCAGAGATGGCGTCAGATGATGTCAGTCCATTCTCTCAGTCATTGGTATAAAGTTATCAATATTCCATGCAGGAATGCACTCAAAGGAAATTAAATATGAATCAACATCTTGCCCTGACAGTTTGTATCTAGAATGATGTTTCATGCTAGTATATTTCTGTCAGTGATTTATGTAGGCTTTTTCCCCGTTCTTATGCTGTATATGGAGCATCCCATCTCTTGACATGTTGACTACTGGAATTAAACAAAAGCTGACAGGATTGAGCAGTTACCCACAATTCTGTTTCAGGTGGTGACAGAAATAGAGCCAAGCTTCTGTAGTAATGGACATGATAGCAGGGAGGAAATAGAGATGCTATGACAGCCAAACCTCAATGCCTCATAATATGAGAAAGCAAAATATGATGAGATGTCATGAGTAATTTTATGAAAAAACAAACAAACAGCATTTTTTTTTCTTCAAGACGACTCACAATGGACAATGACTGGGCCTCAGTTGTACTTTCCTGAAATGCACAGATCTCTCTGTGTTATTTTAGTACCACTGAGATATTATTATAGTTTTTATAGTAATATATAGATATTATTATAGTTCAATTCAAATATGATTATACAGTAAATGCAAAAATATAAATTGAGGCTTCATCCCATTTCTACACTCTAAAAAATGCTGGGTTGTTTCAACCCAATTTTGGGTCAAATATGGACCAACCCAACTGTTGGGTTAAATTTTGGTTACATTTTTAAATTAACTTTTTAACCCAACAGTGGGGTTAGTCCATATTTGACCCAAAATTGGGTTGAAACAAACTTTTTAACCCAACAGTTGGGTTAGTCCATATTTGACCCAAAATTGGGTTGAAACAGCCCAGCATTTTTTAGAGTGTAACTATTTGCAGTTTGTCATGCTTTGTTTGCGAATGCTTTGTTTGTCATGATCTTAACGTACTGTATATTTCTCATGAACTTAACCATTTAATGGAAATGCTGTTTGAGGTCATAAGATTTTTTATAGTTTTTGAAAGAAGCCTCCTACACTCTAAAAATGCTGGGTTGTTTCAACCCAGTTTTGGGTCAAATATGGACTAACCCAACTGTTGGGTTAAAAAGTTAATTTAAAAATGTAACCAAAATTTAAGAATGTAACTATTTGCAGTTTGTCATGCTTTGTTTGTGAATGCTTTGTTTGTCATGATCTTAACGTACTGTATATTTCTCATGAACTTAACCATTTAATGGAAATGCTTAAAAAGCTATTAATGAGCTAAAACAAACATATATTTTTAAATATTTGACCAATACAAACGTTTTAACATTTTATAGCTTTAATGACTTTTGACAATTATTCTAAAATGTGAACAATAATTACAAAGAATTAATTTATGTGTCCATACTTTTGACTCAGTGATGTCTTTCAAATTGAAAGAATGACTTGCACACGAGGAGTGTACACAGATAATAATAAATGTTTTTTCGCATGTATGACATCAACTTCCATTTTTACGCTGACGATACACAATTGTATTTATCCATAAAACCCAACACTTACCATCCTCCTTTAGAACTCACTAAATGTTTGCAGGATGTTAGTACATGGATGACTAATAATTAAGTTAAATTCCATCAAAACAGAGGCCCTTCTTGGGTCTACATCTGTTTTATCCAAAATTCAACCTTTTGCCCTGCTGATCAATAACTCCCTAGTTAATATTTCTACCCAAGTGAAAAGTCTTGGAGTTATATTTGATGGTTTGCTTTCTTTTGGTTCCCATATTAAAAATATTTCATGTACTGCATTTTTTCATTTGCATAACATTGCCCGACTTTGCCCATCACTTTCTCAGTACAGCACTGAAGTTCTTATTCATGCCTTGGTCATGTCACGGATTGACTATTGTTATTCTCTTTTATTTGGTCTTCCTGAAAAACAGCTTCATAGATTACAGTTAATTCAGAACGCTAGGGTTGCTTCCCACTCACGTAACTCTGATCACATAACTCCTATTCTCTTCCAATTACATCGGCTTCCTACTCGCTATCGGATTCAATATAAAATCTTGCTGCTTACCTATGAAGCGCTTCATAATCAAGCTCCTTTTTACCTTTCAAATCTTCTTCAGTTGTACATTCCTTCAAGTTCTCTGAGATCATCCTCTGCAGACTTATTGAGAGTTCCGAATTTTAAGTTGAGTTCCTTTGGTGGCAGGGCTTTTAGTTGTGTGGCACCAAAATGATGGAATTCTTTGTCACTGCACATTTGTCAGCTGGATTCTATTTCCCATTTTAAAGCTCAGATTAAAACCTATTTGTTTAGAATAGCTTTTAGTGATTTGATTGTTTGATTTGTATGTTGTATTTTGTATAGCTCTGTATTTTGTATTGTTTTATATTTTGTTGCTCTTCTTTTATAATGTACAGTGTCCTTGAGTGCCTTGAAAGGTGCCTAAAAATGAAAGGTGTTAATAGTATTACAGATACAAAAGCACTAAATGAGGAGTGTGGTTTGCTTTTGTTTGTACTACTATCACCTATGCACTCTGCAGGTGCAGGTGGGGTTTTAGTGACAGGTGGTTGTTGGGAGAGGGAGGGGGATGGTTCACTGTGGGGCCTCGAGAACGGATGGGGGGAGGATGCTTTGCCTTGGAAGTATTGTGCCTGACACATGCCTCTTTTGTTATGCTGATTAAGGCAACAGGCACAGTCTTTTTGTTCAAGTAAGAGAACGCGAGAGAGAAAGAGAACGAGAACGGAGGTATGGTCACGCTCCCTGTGTCCTATAACCCCCCCAGTCTCCTCTTCTTTAACGTCACAAGGTGCGCGCAACAAAAACAAGCCACCATCAGCTGAGTTCTTCACATCGCGACGCGAGCGAGCCACCATCTGCTGAGGTTGTCACACTCGTCCAACTCTTCCGTTCACATAGCCTACACACACAAATACGCTGGCACTGGACTTTATGTAATTTCTAACCGCCAGGAGCTCAGTGGATATTGTGAATTTTGGAAAAGGGATTTAGTTCGCGAGCTCCGACTCTTAAACTGATTTGAAGGCGGGAAGCGCGAGAGGGTATGCCGAGCCAATAAATAGAAGCTGGCCGCTTAAACGGTCGCCGTCGGCATGAAACTCACGGGGGAAACGTAAAAACGGACTCTCAAAAGAACTTAAAACGTTAAATACGGACTCTTTCACATGAGAAAAATAGAAACAGTAAGAAAAGGATTCCCTCAAACAAACCTTTGGTTTCAGAACTTGGACAGCTCCCTCGTGCAGCCGCCTACACACAGTACCAAACCGACCGTGAGAGGATTCATCGAAACTACTGCACAAAACCGAACCAGTTCTTCTCGGTATTCACCCCCAGAACACCGTGACGCCATGGCCGGTGTACTTCAGGGAGAGAAGCAGCTTTTTGAGAAGTTCTGGAAGGGCACGTTCAAAGCCGTGGCAATGCCGAGACCCGAGAGCATCATCGTCGCCAGCATCACCGCACGGAGAGCCGTGACAAAGTGAGTTCGTTAGCCTGAGGCTTTTTGTGTCCTTATCTTGGGAATTGAAATATTGTTTAGCAATCATTTTGTTTCAGAATGGCATTTTAATAGCTTGAAAAATACTTGACATTTGAAGTATCAGATTTATTCCTTCTGTTTGGAGTCCCAAATATTAAACACACACGTTTCTCTAATTGGTGGCTATTTATTCCTGACATTTGTCTCTTTGTATTTGTTTTATTGTCTTTTCTACAATGTGATTTGGATTGTTATCTCGGGAAAGTCTGTCAGTTCATCTCATCTGCTTCCCCTCACTTTTGTTCAAGCAACTTTTTGTCCCATTTTCATGTTACACAAACACTGAGTGCGAATTCTGCCTGTGCTCTCCATTCATCATTGGCCGTCCTTCACTGGAGGCTAGTCAGTTTCACTTGTGCACACATAAGTGCACAGCAGAGCGAGAGGCTACACTGAGTCCTAATGAATCAAGTCAGAGTAGAGCCCTTCATTATGCCCTTAGGTTAGGACATGAAGATGATCTCAGCGCCTTCTCCTTCACCCATGAATTAGGAGGCATGGCAGCGTGTCGAATAGAGAGAAAAGGCGAAATAGCAATAGACAAACCAGGGCTTTGCTTCCCTTTCCTTTCCTTCATTTCCTGTTAATCAGTATCAAGCCTTACTCCTCACTCATTATGCCTGTAAGGAGTGCGTAACTGTTTTGTGATTCACTCTTGTTCCCTATGTGCATGTATCTTTCCATGTACTGTGCAACTCATCTTGCAGTCTCGGTGAAACTGGAGTTTCACAGTGCTTTGTCCACTTTATTCCTTATCAAGGCACCAGTTGAATGTGTGTATCAAAAAGTGGCATATTACAATTGTGCTGCTCACATTAGTTATATAATATTTATATTAAATAGTGCAGCATGCAGGACAAAGATTCAATTGGAGTTTTGTTAGCGCATAACTTCTCAATCAGTAGTCGAAATCTACCTCAAACCTGCTGCTTTCTGGTTCTCAGTATTCTGTAAAAACAGAAAATGTAGAATTGTTGCTTTAAGGAACTTTTTGTACCTGACCTGAAAAAGAAATAGTCATTAGAAGTGGTTTAAATAATATTATTGACCTTAAGAATAAAATTAGTTGTTTAGAATTTAGGTTGCTTGACAAAACATTTTTTAAAAGTTCGCACAACAATCATTTACTCACCCTCATGTTGTTTCAAACACAAAAAATTTATTTTATTTATTTATTTTTTTTTTAATTGTCTTGTGAAATGTCTTGCCTTTTGTCCATATAATGAAAGTCAAACGTTCCAGTCTGTGATGACAGGATTTTCATTTTTGGATTAACAATCCCTTTAGAGTGAACAGTCTCTTTAAAGGGTATGAAAAAAAATTAATAGTCAAAATATTTTGAACTCTCAGAAATATTTTGTTGTTGTTGTTGTTATCATCAGCGATATGTGTTGAGCAGTGGTGGAAAGAGTACTGAAAAAATATACTCAAGTAAAAGTACCATTACCTTCCAAAAAATGTAGTGTGAGTAGAGTACAAGTACTTGTCCAAAAAACTACTTGAGTAAGAGTAAAAGAGTAGCCTATTTAAAAGTACTCATGAGTATTGAGTAGTGAGTACTGAGCTGTGGATTCTACCCCCTCATAATAAACGTACACCGCAATTTATACATTTTAAAAACGTTGTACATTCTGTAATTCACATTATCTTATTTGTCATAAAGAATGAAGAATATCTATCATCCAGCAGTTTTAATTTTGACTGCCAACTCTTTAAAATACATCAAAACAGCACGGAAACAGTATTCAGTCGAAGAAAAGATGAAAGTTATTCTCAGTACAATCATCCCCATTTAAATCATAAAGTTTGAAAAAATTGATTTAAAATCATGTGTAAGGCCACTGAGACAGCATATGCTGTTGTTACACATAACATATTAATGTTTAGAACAGTGCAAATACAAATACCATTAGAAACTCATAGTTCAGCATCACACACCATGATATTGGTTCAAATGAGAGCCCATTTCTCTCCAAAACCGTGCCAGTTTTAGCGTTTTGCAATAAAGAAATAAGAATAACTAAACTTGATAATTTATGTTACAATTTTAACATAAATGCACATTGTTCTAGAAGGATGGCAAATTGTTATGCTGATAATACAATTTATAAGGAAAAGATAAAAATAAAATTAAAATAAGCATGTAACGACCACAAACGGAGGAAAATAGCGGAGTAAAAGTACCGATACATCACTTAAAATGTACTCAAGTAAAAGTAAAAGTACACATTTTTTAAACTACTCAAAAAAGTACAATTACTGATAAAAACTACTTAATTACTGTAACGTGAGTATTTGTAATTCGTTACTTCACACCCCTGGTGTTGAGATTAAGATAATGTTACGATTAAGAATTCACATTGTTAATTTTGCTTTGAGTAGCCTCTCCTCTCTCTGTCATTAGTCTCTTCCTCTCTATCTGTTTATCTCACTGTGAATATTTATATATTCATAAGGCTACTCACCCTTCAGGGCGCACCTGACGTTGATGTTGATGTGTACAAGGTTGGAAATGACAGCAACATTTACAACCAAACCAATGTCGCTGATTTAAACAGTGCCATCTGCAAATTCAGCATTCAGGTTCGTCTTGATGGTTTTTACCACAGGCACAGCTCAGACAAGACAGACATTTTAAGATGTTAAAATTGCTGAGAAGTAAAAGGATTTCTTTCAATTTGCAGTAATAAATCACAGAGCATAAGGCCCATTAGCATGTAGTATCAGCTGCATGACTGGAGAAACATCATTATTGGTTATGTCAGCTGAAAAATGCTGGTCACCTATGCGGTAAAAGGATTTCTTTCAATTTGCAGTAATAAATCACAGAGCATAAGGCCCATTAGCATGTAGTATCAGCTGCATGACTGGAGAAACATCATTATTGGTTATTATTGGTTACATTTAGCCCACTTTGCCCCGATTTACAAATTTTTTTCTATACTTAATCGACCGTATTTCATTTTCTTATTCCTCCTTCTCCTTTCACGTAGTGTCACTGAAATTTAAAGAGGCCCACAGCACAGGGCAATTACAAAGGGTGTTGCTGATCCTCCTCTGTAGACCTAGTGTTTTCTGGCAAGGCTAGAGAGATGAGTTCACTCTTGTGCAGCCAGAGGGTCCTGTCCCCGGCCACTGTAGCCCCACAAGCTGTTATTCTCAGTGGCAGACCTCATTAAAAATGCAGTGGGTTTTATCTGGACTGAGTATAAGTGTGTTTGTGTAGTTTAGGAAGCAGATGGCCCATGGGAGAAAGGATATAGGGGAGTACCCCATCCCTTAGCAGATGCTAGTTTAACGAGGAAAAGAATAAAGAGATCAGGGTGACTGCACCCAAATGCAGAAGAAGAGAAATTACTATAAAATGATTACAATAAAATCCGGAATTATATATATATATATATATATATATATATATATAAAATAGTTTGTTTTATTCTTATAGTTTGCATTCCTTTTCTGAATATTGTTACATTTAAAGGATTTTTTTGTGGAGTGTGGGGAACTAAAATGCATGTTTATAGTGTTTAATAAATTAATACACATTTCATTTTATTTACTGGTATTTTGCATTATAATAAAATGTGACATACACCAACACAACTTTTCTTTTTTTTTTCTCTCAACAATGCAGTTTTGACCCTGTGTGATTTATTTTCCGGTGCTTGCTTAGAGCAAAGTGAAAACAAGCTTGTCATCTTTAAAATTCAAATTGCTTTTCAAATCAACCTGCTATCATTCAAGCTTATTTTCTTGGCCTTTTTTACGATAATCTTCTGGGAAGTTTTATTTTTCTTGAAGACAAAAGGTTTGAACATGTTTGCTTTGATAAGGAATTGAGTTTATTGAGTTGCTTGTTTCAAAGATTGGTTGTTCCTCTGCTTTTGATTTGACTGGGTGAAACTAAATTATATTAAGACTGTGGTAACCTTTTCGTTCATTATCGTAACCCAATCAGCTTGTGTAAGATTTTCGACAGCCATTTCCTAGTGCAACGTCATAGCAGTTATAAAGAAGGTGGCAAAATTCTGATGGATTAACTGCTATTGAACTGCAAATCATTATAGAAATACTGTATTATTATTTAACACCTATGTAGCTTGGTTCAAGCCATTAGTTTTTGTTCTTAATTAAGTAGTCGCCCCAAATCCCAGGCTACTGCTGAGGTGATGAAATGAATAATGAAAGGACAATGATTTCAGTGATCTTCATTGGTGAGGTCTAGTACACACAGTCTTTCTTTTGATTTTGTTCTGAAAGCAGAAGAAAGCAGCATTGTTCAAAGGTTGTGTGTGTCAGCGTCTAATGTAGAAGCCAGTCAGAACTCTCAGTTCCATTTAGTTCCAATTCAGTGGATTTAAATCAGCTGAAGCGGTGGTCGCAAATAAAGTTGTTACATTCCAAAGAATCGAATTGTGACACTTTTTTTTGTTTTTGTTTTTTGGAAGGCCATTTGACTCTCTTGCACTCTTTTTCTTGTTCTTTCTCTATGTTTCTGGGTGTGTGGGGTCTCTGAAGGGGCTGTAACCCCTGGAGCTGAGCTCTGGCTCAGAGACAGCTGCAGAGCTGTAAAAATGCTGATATGGTTGCCAGGCCTGCAGGGTTCAGCTATAATTCCTTTTAAATGTAGCCACTGCTACATTCCAGCACATCATCTAAGAGGTAGGAGGGACACATTTCTATTTAGCCAGAAGTGAGTCCAACACTCAGTTAGTAACAAGATGAAAGGCACAGCTGTGAAACACCAGGGAGATGTTGAAATGCAGTATGTGGTCTTGATATGGAGGGATTATGTTGGCGATCTGATGCTAGAGTGAGAAAGCTTATGACTGAATATTTCATATCTTTGATAGTTGTGGTGAGAAAATACAAATTAAGCTTGAATCGTCATTATATAATGTATGTAACACCATTCATGTAAAAATACAAACTGTGTGTGC